CGTGGTTTTTACGAACTAACGAATTAACGCGCATGTCGGAGAATGCTGACGTATTGGTAACGCAACGTAACGGAAATTTTAACAAAAATACTGAGGCAGGCGGGTGCCGATATACTGTGCTTTCAAAGCATTTGACTTGGTGGAAACAGTTTTCTCTTTCTTGACTGCAAGGTGATGTCTTTTTCTGTAGTTTCACGAAGTTATTCTACCGCCGGAAAGGCAAATGTTGCTCGAAATGAAACAAAAACTTTTAGATCGTTGACGGCGGTGATAGCTGCAAAATGGGTTCGGTAGCACTGAACATCGAATTCTGCTTTTTTAGATAAAAATGCAAACTGAACTAAATCCTGAGGACTACCGACTTTACTTTTGATTAACATCACATCAGTCGATTTTTGTCTTCTGGCGCCCTTGTTTAAGCCCTACCTATGCTTGTAAGTTAATCTCTTTTTTGTTTTTGTTTTGTTTGTTTGTTTTTTTTACAAGGAACGAATGCAAACTGGTATAAACCCAACAGCTTCACCCAGTACCGAATGAGGCAAACCAAAAGAAAACGCCGCGAACTTGTTCCCCCGCCAGTTTCCATGACAAACGAATTCTACACTAACATTGCCCTTCAAGTTAGGATCTCTCCCAATTCTTCCAATGTGGTTGTCTTCTTGGCTTCCAATAGCCTGGGAACAGAATTCAACAGGATTGATGTAAGAGCTTTGTTATTGTTCAAGAAGTTACTGTGTCTCATGAAAACTTGCGGGTTGCAAAATACAACGCTGTAAAAATGTACTAATTTTAGTCCAATAAAAATTACCTTAGTAGTAGTCAGAGGGTAAGAGTAAGCTTTCTGTTTGAATTTATTATTGTTTCAGCTCTTTGGGAAGCAAGGCATTCTCTACTGCAATTTTATAAAATGCATTGTAATATTTTTATTTGGAGTGTTTTGTATGCAATGTTGAACTGAGATATTACACTGTTATGCAGCTCGAGTAGAAAAATCGAAAATATAGTTCCTTTCAACAATTCAAGGTACTTCGAATCACCAACATTTGTTCCCGTAAAACTGGTGTTAAGTCTGGGATATGGTCGACATTTCTATTTCATCCATTCATTCCTTTTGTGAAACGTTTTATAATTAGACACGTTAGTCTGAGACTAACATTGTTACCTTAATATATTACAGGTAAAGAATCACGTGTTGCGTTACGTCTTCCGGCTTGGTGACCGTATGAAGATCCTCAGTATTCCCCAACTGAACATAACAGATGATAAATACCACACAATTGTAGTCAAGAGAGTAGGTAACCGAGCAAGGCTTCAGATCGATTACGATGGTAAAGTGGAGGGGACAACGCGTGGTATACACAAACTGCTCAACATGGGAGGAGGAAGCTTCTTTACTGGTGGCTTGCCTAACGTTACTGAGGTAGGGAAAGTCCGTCTCTTAATCTTGACCATTTCACTCCCAGGAGTTACCGATGAGTTATTTCGGATCGATGTCAATATCTCAGCAACTGCGTACCTATCCCTTCCAAGCCCATTATTAATCCGATCTTGTCATCATTTAACTGTTGAGGGAGGGTTAGACGCGCAGTTGCTGAGATACTGACATCGATGATGTAGTTTGATTTGATACCAATTTCCTGGATATAAATCTTTTAGAATGTGTGGAACACGATAAGAAGAATTGACGTTCGGATCTAGGCAGTGAAATGATTAACGCGGTGAAGAAAAGGACACAGCAAATAGTAAAGGATTCCTCGACTGTTTAACTTTACCTCGAATTTTGTCATAACTGTTCGGTAACTACTCAAAAACCTTACCCGGGAGAGACAAATTATGTTCACCGAACTGCGTTAAAAGGATAATCGACTAAAGCCAAAAAAATCAATCTTGCCGAAGAAGATCGTGGAAAGAAAAATTGCGAGCACAGACAAATTGCCCAAATACTTCACTCTAGCAGAAAAGTGTTCCCCCATAAAGATTCGAACAAAGTAATTTTCTCTGCTAGCATGATAGACTCTCTTTAAATCGTTTTCTGGAGTCCTGTCCTTGATCCTTTGATTTGGAGGAGGGACGGAGCGACGCAGTAATATGATAGTGGGGATAAATTAAAGGCATACTGTTCTAATATGTGTTTTTTACCGTAATAACTTGAACTAAATTAGCACAGCCGATATACACATGTTATCTAACTTAATGGCTATTTTTTTAACCAGGAATTAAGCATTGCATAACATTTTTTCCAGGTACGAGTCGTAGAAGCGTTTGTTAACAGTGGCGGTAACGCCATCTTGCGCACTGCCGACGGCAACATCATCTCAAGCGGAATAGGAAGTGGATTATCAGGATACAGTTCCTCGGATGCCGAGCTCATGGGCACCATGATAACTGTTGGTCTTAGAGGAGAGGTGTACTCCTCAAGTTCGTTCATGAAATTGTATTCCCCACTTGGAATGCGAGCTCTAGTGGGTTCGTCCGGCCGTATATTTGTGGGACGTACTGCAACAACAAGTACGAGAACATCTATAAGGACTTATTCCTATAAGTCATACACGCCCATCGGCGTGAAAAGTGGGGGCAAGATTAATGTTAGAGTCATATCAACGAATTACAACCCAAGTGGAAGCTCTGTCGTTATTAGTTCAACCACAGGCGGTAGTGCAGTTGGGTCTTCTGGTGGAGGTGGGTCATCTGGTGGAGGTGGTTCTTCTGGTGGAGGTGGGTCATCTGGTGGAGGTGGGTCATCTGGTGGAGGTGGTTCTTCTGGTGGGGGTGGGTCTTCTGGTGGAGGTGGTGTTGTAACTGGTGAGGTTGGTGTTGTTGGTGGTGGTGGTAGTGTAGGTCGTGGTATTGGTGGACAATACGTCACTGGAGCCACGGTATTAGGAGGTGCTAGCTCTGCTAATGCATATGGACAAATCAATGCGTATGGCACCACCCTTAGTGGATGGACACTTCTGGGAGCAACCACTGATGGTGCTAAGGTAGTTGAAGTTATAGGAGATTTCGGAGGTGAGTTCAAGGTTCTTACATAAGTGGCTCTTAAAAGCACCGTTATATTTATAGATGGTCTTTGTCGATTAAGAATCACGTCTATGATTAAAAAGAATGCGTCTCCTGCAAATCCACGCAGCCAACGATGTCTCTGAGTTTGCAAGATGAACCAAATATTGTGTTCTAATTGGTTGTGCTAGCAAGCACAGCCAATTAGAAATGGAACTATTTTGGAGGCTTTTCCCGCCGAAAATAATTGCTCAAAGCAAGCATTTGGTCCCACTATAAATTATCTCTTGATCAGGGTTTTTGGTTCAAGTTAGCTCAAATTTAGCCAAATTCTTATTTTGCGTCCAAGTGGACTGATAGGAACATCTCTACCTGATGCCTGGTTCCTTTCCATACTTATATTATTAACACATTTTTCTTAGGATGTACGGCGTCAAACAATTACAATGGCGTAGATTTGGACAACGATAACAGTATAGAGGCACGGCGTCAGAATGTGGAATTCGGTTGTCCGTGTTCTTCAGGTTTCTGTTTGCACGGTGGAACATGTGTGGATGCTGTACCTCCTTATTGTATGTGCCCGCCTGGTTGGACTGGACCACGATGCGAGACTGTTGTTACCAGCCCTAATCCAGGTATGGCAAATACTGGTTTATCCTATAATAACACTATCAGTATTTCTGCATTCTAATTTTAGCGTGAAAATTCTAATATATGGGTGGAACACTTCTATTTTTCCCGCTTTTCAAATTTTTCTGTCTTCTTTGTGCATCGAACTCTTCATCAGACGGACATATTTCTAACACGGACTCTTGGTGTTGGCCCTGTCAACGCCTGTCTTAGGGGGGGTTGACCTCAGGGCTTAGATTTTCCAGAGAAGCAAGTAAAATTAATATGCTCTCGCTCTCTATTCAGGCACACGTCCAGGAAGCAGGTGGGCGAATCCTGCAGTTATCGCAGTTGTCCTGGTCGTTTTGCTGGCCATTTTAGCAATTGTCGGCGCCGTATTACTGAAAAGGCGACCAGTACCTGCTGTGGTGGCTGTGGTTGAAGATGGGCATGTTCACGACAACATTCGACCGTACCACGACGAAGGCGCCGGCGAGGAAGATAACTTCGGTTATGATATCACAACTCTTATGAAGTACACTTATGTTGAAAACGGCATAGCTGGTACAGGTGGCGCAGGAAGTGGCAAGTTCAAGGATGCTGGGGGTATTGGCGAAGAAGAGTTCACCGTTGCAGAAAATAAACCCCTTCTACAAGGAGCGATGCCTGGTGCTGGTTTACGGCACGGGGTTACAACCATGACTAAGCGTCGCGTAGTACATCCTGAAAGCATTGACGTGAAACAGTTCATCGATACGCGCGTTCACGAAGCGGACGGCGAATACATCTTATCCATTGACGAGTTACACATTTATCGGTACGAAGGAGATGATTCAGACGTCGACGACCTCAGTGAGCTTGGAGATAGTGACGAAGAGCCGGATGAGGAGGAGGAGCAAGAATTTGCTTTCTTGCAAGAATGGGGCAAGAAATTCGATAACCTTAACCGTATTTTCAACGAAGACGATTAATTCATGCAGCCGTTTTGTACATAAGCTGATTTTTTAAAGATTAAATCAATAGGTTTAGGCACTTTGTTACTCTGCCTTGTTCAAGCTCGTCTAACCACCTCATATTTTTGACTTGGAACGTCCATGACCTCATTTTGTGAAGAACTGTTCGAATACGCAAGTTAAACGAGAAATTCTCGATGAGACGAGAGCGCTTTTAATGTGTGTTAGTACATGTGTAACTCTTATCGGACATACTTGGACACTAGCGAGGTACTCGCTGTTAATTTAAATTAGCAAAGGTGTGGTTAGAAAAAAGGTTCTGTATCAGAGGGAAAATTTAACTCTGACAAAGAAGTTTTTTGTCATTACCGTGTAATAGTTAACATTTATGTCTGAAGGTTTTCGGTGCAAAAGACGAATTTAAGTAACGTTGCCGTAAATTGGGAAATGAATTTTCTTTGTTTTAGCACAATAATCCCTCCTTTACCTTTGAGGTGAGGGGCTACTCGCGCCGGTAAGAACACATAAATCTATTGCAGAGGTCTGCGTTTTCAATAGTGTTACCTCAATAGTGTTACGCCCTCTCTTCCGTGTGTACAATTGGAAAAGTTTAGAAACTTCTCAAGGGAAGGGAACGTAGTCTCATGACTAGCTAAATATTCGCGTCTAATATTGAACTAAAAGTGTACACCTGGTGTAAAGTATCATTTTAAGATTTCTTCGAGTTATTTAATTTCTTCATTTTCGTCAGATAAAGATGGTGATAGTGCAATAACTTGCTAGATAGAAGTCAATAAATTATGTGTTTGTAGGAAAAAAATGGAAAATTATGGTTGTCTATTTCTTCTTCTTTTTTCCCTCTGTACTGAGTATTTCGCGTTTAAAATTAGTTTGGAATGAAAAACATTATTTTGAACCTTTTGAGAAGCCCTTGAAATGGCCACTCGCGATAAACCTAACCCTCTAGGGATTCTACGGAGCCCAGTTAGTACTATCTTGTAGTACTCATCAACTTTTGTTTCACTACCTCGACTTTATGTTTCACCACCTCAGTTTTTTCCCGGCACAACTTCAACTTTCCGGCACGGAAAGTTAAGTCGTTCAGAAAAGTTGAAGTCGTGCCGGAAAATTGTAGTCATGCCGGAAAGTTGAAGTTGCGCAGAGAGTTGAAGTTGTGCCGGATGTTTAATTCGTGCCAGATAGTTGAAATCGCGCTGGAAAACTGAAGTCGTGCCGAATAGTTGAAG